TGGTTTTCTCCCCGATTTGGGGTTTCCACGTAAATCGTGTGTTCTTTATCTTATTTCCGTTGCTATCTATTTGTGGTGGTGGTGCTGATTTTTGGAGTATATTGTGCTTTGTTGTTCATCTCATTAATTTGGGGAAAAGATTTTATACGCTTCCGTTGTGTTTTGTTCCGTGCTTCCCCAACAAAGTGGTATCAGAGCCCAGGTTCTTGCGGGCGGGAGTAGCGGACTGTGCAGTGTGGAAAAATCTCGGTGTGACGGTGTAACTAGGACCAAGACCAAGAAAGAGGATCTGCAGGTGGTGCCTTGTGTCGAAAGTCTTCCCGACGAGAGGAGGTCGGGCGGCGCGTCCCGTGAAGTTATAGCCACGGCGGTACAAGATGATTTGGCGGATCAAATGGTGTAGCCCAGCAAAGGAAAGATCTGCGGTTCGAGCCTTGCATCGAAAGTCTTCCCGACAGGAGGTCGGGCGGCGTGTCCCGCAAAGATTGTGCGGCGGTGCAAGAGGGTTAGCAGATAAAAAAAAAAGAAAGAAAAAAATGGATTACCGCTGGAGGGGAGGTCAGAAGTTGTGTGGTCCTTGGATGAGGGGAGGTTTGTTGGGATTCCTCCAAGTCCCACACCGGATGAGTAGGAGTAAATGAACCAAAATATATAGGTTCACCCAACCCCATTAGTATGAGGCCTTTTGGGAGGTTCCCAAAAACAAATCCGTGAGGGCTTGCCCAGAGCGGACAATATCATACTAATGCGGGGTTGGGGTGAGGGCACGCGCAGTCCCAACATGTGGTATCAGAGCCTGGTTATTTATTGGTTGGCTTCTTGTGTTGTTTATGATGGATGACAAAGTAATTGTTCAAGGAATGGTTAGTTTGGACTCTACGAATTATTCAATTTGGAAAATTCGTATTGAGGATTATTTATTCTCTAAAGATTTGCTTGACCCAATTTTGTATAAAGAACGTCCAACAGGTGTTGATGAGAAAGCTTAGACTACCTTGAACCGGAAAGCTATTGCATCAATCCGACAATATGTTTCTTTAAGTGTGTTGCAACATGTTGCTAATGAAACTAATGCTTTTGAGATGTGGAAGAAACTTGAATCCATGTACGAGAGGAACAATGCTATGGGAAAAGCTTCTTTGATTAGGAAGCTTGTTAAATTGCAATACAAAGATGGTGATAGCATT